GCATTATTCTGCACAAACCACCACTGTTGTTCTTGCTTTATTCAAGTACATGAATCCTTAACTTTTGTCAAATCTCCCCATAGAATTATATATACTACCAAACTGAATAAATTCTACTCTCACGCTAATTTTCAGTTTGATATTTTGATATATTCTAAACCTCTTTTTATAGTGTCAGTTTGACAAGTGAATTGAACAAGAGGTAGTGGTAGTTGTTAGTTTCTTTTTGAGGAATGTATTTTCATCAGTTTTTTTGGCTGACCAAAGGTGCGGTCAACATAAATATATATATATATATATATTATCCTCCGAACGCAAATATTGTTTACATAAACGATGAGTTGATTTATTTAAGTAAGTAAGTAAGTAAGTTGAAATGCGGTTAAAAAGTATGACTTCATTTTCGATTTTATACTCTTGTACTAATACAGGATTAGTAGTGAGTGTCTTTGTGTGACCAGCGGAATATCTCAGTCACAAGATTTTTAATTTATACTCTAAAAATACTGTGGTGAATATAAGTAGACGGAGAAGAAGCGATTCTTTTTCTTCCACAAATCTAAATTATTGACTTCAGGAGATGTTTATCTTCGGACTGCGTAAAGAAAGGCATCAGTAGCTGCCAATGACAGAATTCCTTAATTTTTTTTCCACTAGACTGTTAAAACCATCCTACTTTATACATCTGAACAGTTTCATAGTTCAGCAAGTAGTGTGGTGTGTCAACTGATCGTAGGCTGCTTTTTTTGGCGAAGTTTAACAATAACTCCCTAAGGGATGCGAACGCACGAATGACCTTCAGTTGACCAATCATAAAAATGAGAAACTTTTGGCACAAAAAATGACGTATATTTACAAGAAAGTGGTTGAAAACACATTGGACAGGTTATCTTTTTCTGACATGACTTAAAAATCCTCCCCAGTTATAATGAGGGTGCGTCGGTGGCAAAGCGGTTAGCACGCTTACCAACCATACACATGGTTAGGGGTTTGATCTCTGGCCACCGACGCACTCCTTTACCTCGCTAAGCCAGAAATAATGCTGGTAAAAAGGAAAGGTTGGGCATGAGGCTAGCAACCCCATCCTGTTAAAAACAAACGCTGCTACAGAAACTTCAAGCCACTATCTTGAGGCCCTATGTTCCGCTGAAAACGTGAAGGAAGAATTATTATTAGTTATAATGAGGAGTACCACTTGCTAAGTTAGACCAGTTTCTGTACATGCATTCACCGAGTTGATTGACGATGAACTGTTTTGTGAATCATTCATCTCTCTTATCCTGTTATACAGTCTTTTCCTAAGCCCGCAGTTTCCAGTAAGAAGATCGGCGACTACTTACCAGGGAAATATGGATAATAAAACAAATTAAATAAACTCTAAATATATCCCCTAGCCTTAACCCTTAGCCTAACAAGCTATTTAACACATTGTCCAAACGGTAGTTAAAAAAGTTATCTGGGTGAAATTGGCTGCTTAGCTGGTGAATAGCGTTGATATTTCAGTTATGATAATGACAGGTACCATCAGCCAACGATTAGCATGCTTTCAAGGTAAATGGAGCGTTCAAACTCATAGGAGATTACTGTTGACTTTTGCCGATTTTGATGAGGAACTTTTCTTACGTCCAGGCGAACTATTCATTTCATCGACATATATATATCTTGAAGTATTGGTTTGGTAGGGATTTTATTTGATTGGTTGGGGGCTTTTATCGTGAGCTGACATCAGTTAGTGTGCGTCGGTGCACATTGGTGATGACTCGCCAACCATGCTCATGATCCGGGGTTAAATCATTTGCCGCCGCACACCTGATATTTATGGTCGGCCTGTAAAATTTAGGCTACCTATATCCATGCTGAAAATTCCATACTTGTACCAAAAATACAGTGTGAAATCAAGCTGTAATAAAAAAAATATATAAAGACATAACCAACTGATGACTTCTTGACCAACCCATTAATTATATTTTCAACCACACTATTGTAATACCACAATCTTATCACATCTTCATTAAGACGTATTTTATTCACTTTCGCTACCGTACAGCACTACTTAATCGTTTCACTTATTTTACTTAGCCTTTGTTGACGTTGGCTCAGACCACTATCTCGTACAAGCGACAATCCAGATCAAATTAAAAGCTTTCACGGAAACAGGAGTTGCAGATAGACCACAAGCCAAGTTCAACACTCAAAAACTGAAGGAGCAGGCTACAAAGGACATCTTCATTGCAAGCATAAGGGAAAAAGCCGAGACACAAATCAACACCAGCGAAGAGGTCGGCGTCGAAAAGCACTGGGACAACTTGAAAACGATGGGGAGTCAAACCTGCATGGAAGTTCAAGGCAGAAAGAAGAGACAGGACAAACAGTGGCTCACTACGGACACTTGGAGACTAATAGAAGAGAGAAGGATAATGAAACAAAAGATTATCCAGTGCACCGACGAGCAACAAAAACAGGAGCTGAATTCAAGCTACTATACACTGAAAAAAAGAGTGAAGAAGGGTGCCAGAGAAGACAAAAGAAAATATTATGAAACCATGGGAAGTGAAGCGGAACAAGCTGCAGGCAAAGGAGACTTCGCCACACTATATCAAACAACTAGGCACCTATCGGGCAAACGTTCGACACAGATTAAGCCAGTAAAGGATGACAATGGAAAATAAATCACCAAAGAGGTGGAACAAAGAAGACACTGGGCTGAACAATTCAAAAGACTTCTAAATCGACCGCCAACTACAACGTGCCTAACAATACCAACAACGGAAGCAGAACTACCAGTGAACATCGACCCTCCGACGAAATAAGAGGTCCTGAATGCAATCAAGATGCTAAAAACCGGAAAAGCAGCAGGATCAGATGGAATCCCAGCAGAAGCATTGAAAATGGACCCAGAGACAAAAGCGGACTTGATGACGCCTTTGCTGTAGAAGGTGTGGAAAGAAGGGAAAGTATCTGAGAATTGGAAGAAAAAATACTTATTCAAACTACCGAAGAAAGGAGAATTAAGTCAATGTAAAAACTGGCGCTGAATTATGCTCCTGTCCATCCTAAGCATAATACTAAGTCGCATCATCCCGGAGAGAATCAAATAAGCCAACCTGGATGAAAAACTTCAACTGGAACAAACTGGATTCAGAAGAAACAAGTTGTAATGAATCGATCAAATCGCCACACTATGGAACATCATTGAACAAAGCTTAGAATGGCAGTCACCTCTCTATCTCAATTTCATCACCTTTTAAAAAGGTTTCGGAACCGTCGATCGGGAGGTCATTTGTCAAGTACTTCGCTACTACTGGGCGCCATCGACAATTATACATCTCACCCAACAGTTATAGGACAATGCTGGGTGCCAAGTAATCCACAACGGGAAACTCACGGAAGCGTCTTTTCAAAAAAATCATACATTTGGTTCCCTTGATAAATTTCTACCACCACTCGAACATCAAAGTATGTTATTATCATCTATATAACCATTGTAATTTCAGGTAGTCTGCAGCTGATGAGAACCTGTGAAATAGAATGATATCAATTTATACTGCAAACTTCGTCTTCCTTTCTCTACCGAAACTCACGGAAGACTTCGAAGTGAGGACGGGAGTGAGACAAGGCTGTCTACTATCGCCAATGATCTTCCTGATTGCAGTAGATTGGATAATGCGACAGAAAACGGACAATAGGGAAAGAGGCATAAAGTGGACTCACACAAGAAACTTGGAGGATCTGGACTTCGCCGATGCGATAAATGTCTGATTTCCCACAGACTGGAAGATATGCAAATGAAAAGCAACAAGCTGGCAGAAGAAGCATCCAGAGAAGATAGAATTTCAGGTGAACATAGAGAAAACAGAGGTGATGAAGATCTCTGGCCAACACAACATCCACAAAAAACAACAACCGACAACAATCATCATAAATGGGAGGAACCTGAAAGGAACAACCTCCTTCACCCACCAACCTGGGAAGCATCGTTTTAAATACAGGCGCACGGAATTGACGAGGATATCAAGGCAAGAATCGGAAAAGTAAGACAAGCTTTCATTACTCTCAAGTCTGTGTGGAGGTCAACAGTAATCTGCATCAAAAATAAGATTTGGATTTTCAACTCCAATGTGAAGTCAGTGCTACTCACCATACGGATCAGAGTCTTGGCCACCGCGTCATAAAGAGCATCTGAAACAAACTTCAGACCTTCACTAACAGTTGTCTTCGCTCAATACTCAAGATCAGATGGCAGGTCAGAAAATATCAGCAACAGGGATCTCTGGCAATGAGCGAACTAACCAAGCAGGAACCGATTGTGCAACAAATAAGCAGGAAGAAACGGATATTGATTAGCCATACGCTGAGGAAGCAAACCGTCAAGTGACATCACTAGACAAGCCATCGCTTGAGTGGAACCTGAAAGGGAAGCGACGGGTTGGTGGTAAGTGCGATAGTAACTTGAAGCAGGTGATGTGAACAGGGGATGACAGCATATGGGCAGACTTGGAGTGGGATGAAAAAGTTGGCAGAAAACAGAAGGCAATGGAGACGCGCAGCTGAAGCCCTATGTTCCTCTAGGAATTAAGGGATATAATAATAACCAAAATACGCCTACCTGAACATTTATTTGTTGAATCATGCTGTTTTTTCGTTATTCTTGTCATCACACAGATCGCCTCACTTTTTCATCCTTATTATTGATGGAACCACTAATTACTATTATTATTATGACTAACTGCACAATTTATCTGCATAATCTTATTATCATGAGGACAAAACACCTTGATTGGTCTATATTTGCTGATATTTATATGTAAAGTAATGTAGGTATGTTAGAGTTAAGCGTGACGGTGAGGGGTAGTTAACAGCACAATATTGTTTGCTTTTAAATGTGTGTTATTCATAAACTCATCTACTCATATTGTTATTTTGACATGTTTTGCATTTTCCTGTTATCAAGTTTTATTCTTTTTTACTTTAATTATTTTCTATATCATATTTTTCTGTAGGCATCATCCCCTCAAAGTCCAGATTATCAGCATGCATACAATTATTCAGATCGATCATTATTTCCTGAAGTATACAGTGGAGATTCTTCTGACCTAATCACTTCAAAACAAACTGTGAAATATGATTTAGACAGAAAAGCAAAACAGAAAGAGTAAGTCGCTTTTTACTACTTACTCATAAATTTGTGAAAAACAATAACTTTGTTATGATTGTTGATAATTTATTACGTCATGAATTCTTTGCTGACACTGACGAACAATTTCTCTCTATTACTTGATTTAAAGCAGATTTTTCAATTCGACTTTAAAGTCACTGCCACTTACTGAAGTTTTACTTATTTTGGTGTTGACCAGCAGTGAAACGAAGGATGCTCATTTCAACCGATTTTGCAGCCAGTCAGATGAATGAACCTATTTTCATCAGTGATTGGCAGATTTTCCACCTGATAGTTGAACTCAGCACTTATTGCTTGAAACGTCAAAGCATTGTGAGCTAGAATATACAGTTACGAAATTCACCTGTTGTGCAAGTGGTATTAGTTGTATTATTTAGCTGCTTAAATGTTGTCTGCAATGCAGAAAACTAGGTACTACTGATTAGCCACTGCTAACACCCCCGAATAGTGCATGCTAGCCAGATCAAAGCGATTTTAAATCGGCTGGCAGTTGGTTCTGGCTTTTGGGGCCAATTTCTTCAGTGATTCACCCGATTCGAATCAGTTCGAGATCAGCCGATATCTCGCTAGCTACTTGGGTGATCTCAGATCAGTAGTGGGTAGTTTCGCGCACTTGTGCATTGTTTTCTTGATAACCATTTATGATGGATAGCAAACAGATAAGAATTTGGTGATCTGTATAATTTTAGTTACTTAAGGAAACTGTAATGTAATTCCACCTGAAATTGTGTGAATCGCTGAGTGCGAATTTCACTGTGTGAAATGTCTGAATATAAATATGCTTGATTATCGTTAAAATCATGTGCTTCTCATTTCAACTTTGTTCTCTCTTCAAATCTGAGTTTATTCAGACTTTTATCTACTAATCAACATAGAAGTTGCTGACTTGTGAAAATTTAAGCACTGATATAATTTTATTGTGGATAGAATTTATTTTGATAAAATCACACAGGGGAGTGTTATACAGTTATATTTACTGATGATAACGTTTTGAGAACAATTTACAACTGCTCATAATCCTATCAAGATACTGCTCACAAAACTTTCAAACTTTGTTTATACTATTCCTCAATTCCTCATCTCTTGATCTGATTCGTAGTTGTAGTGTAAGGACAGAAGACAAGAGTCAGGCAACAGATCGTTTATTAAGGAAATCAACACATATTTATAGGTTTTCATGTACACATGATTATAGATTATTGTTAGCAGAAAAACACAGTCTTCTGATTAGTTGTTTCTCACAGAAAGTTAAACTCGCATCTCTTTGTGGCTGTTTCTTGAATGTCAGATCACCTATGTGCTAACTGTATCCGCCTACGCAAAGCCTTTGTTTTCATTTTTCTCATGATCAATATTAGGGACATAAAAATTGACATAAATTGCTGTCCACTAATTTTGGCTAACAGCCAGCTCTCACCACACTCGTTCCCCCGACAAAGACTTGCAACTGAAGTTGGTCCAGTCTTCTTGGTTCTAGGGGCTTTGTTCGTTTGTTTTGCTGTCTGGAATCTCGGCACTCACTGATGGTCACCTGTTTCTCTTTGTTTACCATTACGATTGTGTCTGCGTAACTTCATCTCAACGTGACCATATGTGGTCCTTCCCACTTTGAAATTTGTTTGCCTGACCCTGTCGCATGTTCACCAGTATTTCGCCTCACGCCTTCATATGCTGCTTTCTCCCAGCCTTCCAGCAGCGTCCCAGGTAGCAGCTTCATCGCTGACAGATCCTAAACGACACTCAACTGCACAGAAGCCTCGAAGTCCTGACCGAAGATCCATATGTCCCCATCGAAAAACTGTAGGGCATAGGCTTTCCATTTGTCGGTAGGCAGCGAAACCAAAGGGAATGACAGAAGACAAGAGTCAGGCAACAGATCGTTTATTAAGGAAATCAACACATATTTATAGGTTTTCATGTACACATGATTATAGATTATTGTTAGCAGAAAAACACAGTCTTCTGATTAGTTGTTTCTCACAGAAAGTTAAACTCGCATCTCTTTGTGGCTGTTTCTTGAATGTCAGATCACCTATGTGCTAACTGTATCCGCCTACGCAAAGCCTTTGTTCTCATTTTTCTCATGATCAATATTGAAGACATAAAAATTGACGTAAATTACTGTCCACCAGTTTTGGCTAGCAGTCCGCTCTCACCACAGTAGTAGTAGTAGTAGTATTTTCCATCTTTCTGGTATTAGCGAGTAGTCACATTTGAATTAAAAAATGAACAAGGTGGATTATCTTTGATGTTAGATTGCAATATAGAGTTAATAGAAGAAGGTGAACTGCACTCCAGCAGCGTTTATAAAAAGCGAACACATTCTAAGACTTTAATCCATCTCATCAGTTCATTATCTAACTGTGAAGGCAGGCTTAGTTAAGTGTCTAACAAACCGAGCAGTGCGACTTAGTGGTACAAAAGAAATGAAACAGATCAAAACAGAAGCGTTGGTGTTAAACATGTATCCTTTGAGATTCATCAGGAAGATCAGAAAAGGTCAAAAGCAAAATAAAAAAATGATGGAGAAACTAATAAAGATAACATAAATAAAAGGGAATATAAGGCATCTGCAGTTTTACCATATATAGAGGGAGGAGATATCTGAGACCCTCTCGACGTAGGATTCTTAATAAAACAGGAATTAAGGTGGCACGCAAACCTTCAATTTACCCAGGGAGGACAAGCTCAGTAGGCTAGAAGACCCGGTTGACCCAATTAAACAAAATAACATAATTTACAAAATACCCTGCACTGACTGTGAGGTTAACTACATAGGTCAAACTGGTAGGTCGGGCGTAGTCAGATCGCCTGTCAGAACATAAGAATTTAGCTAAAGTAAGGATGGTTGACCTTGAGAAGATAAGTAATTTAGAAAAAGCCCAGCGATTGCACTGCATGCATGCCTTAACATACAACCACACAATGGGGTGAACGGGATACATTCAAAATTCTAATTGGTAATATAGGTAGGTGGAGAGAGATAGACAGGTTGATTACTGAATCCTTGTTTAACTATTCTACACCCAAAACGTGCAGTAGGAATGACTCATCACTCATACCGGAAATATGAAAAATACTACAACTACTACGAATCAGACCAAGAGATGAGGAATTTAGAAATCGTACAAACAAAGTTAGAAAATTGTGTCAGTAGAGTCTTGATATGATTATGAGCAGTTGTGAATTGTTTTCGACACGTTATCATCAGTAAATATTACTTTATATCTCTTCAATGTGTGATTTTAATGAAAATAAATTTTACTCAAAATGAAATCATACTTTACCACTGCAGTGCACAAGTTCTATTCTGGGATCAACAAACCAGTGACATATATATATATATATATATATATATATATATATATATATATATATATATATATATATATAATCAGATGAGGATATAGAAAGAACTCACATCAAACCCGTTGTTCTCACTAGCTAATCTGTGGTATCCCAGACATTAAGCACCCCCTTTTCTCTGATCTTCAGACAACCTTATCAACGGTTATTTTACAAATTACTTAGGTGGTTTCAGCTACAACAAGTTAAATCAGCCAAAAATTTTCTATATTAATCGCGGATTAAGTAAACAGAACGCTTCTAAATATGACTCATGGGCTTGAACATTCGTTTTTTAAACAAGTGCATTTCGGGTTCAAACCGCCTTTATCCCACTCCACCCGCTTTAGCGCAAGCAACTAGATATTATCACTGACTTGTACATAAGAAATGAGTAGGTTGTAGATTTCTGTATGGTGAATCATTTCTGGTTAACTGACTGCTAACTTTCTTCTTTCGAAAAGACATAATTCAGCAAAAGAATATTCTTTTGGTAACTTCCTTTCAAATGTGTAAAGTTATATTATTTTGTTATGTTATACATCTCATCCAGCAGTTATACGACAATGCTGCATGCCAAGTAATCCACAACGGGAAACTCACGGAAGCCTTCGAAGTGAGGACGGAGGTGAGACAAGGCTGTCTACTATCGCCAATGATCTTGCTGATTGCAGTAGATTGGACAATGCGACAGAAAACGGACATTGAGGAAAGAGGCATAAAATGGACTCACACAAAAAACTTGGAGCATCTGGACTTCGCCGATGCGATATATGTCTGAATTCCCACAGACTGGAAGGTATGAAAGTGATAGCAACAAGCTGGCAGAAGAAGCATCCAGAGAAGATAGAATTTCAGGTGAACATAGAGAAAACAGAGGTGATGAAGATCCCTGGCCGACACCAGCAGCAACAACAGCAGCAGACAACAATCAGCCAGCATAAATGGTAGGAACCTGAAAGAAACAACCTCGTTTACCTACCTCACCTGGGCGGCATCGTTTTAACTACAGGCGGACGGAACTGACGACGATATCAAAGCAGCAAGGATCGGAGAAGCAGGACAAGCTCTCACTAATCTCAAGTCTGTGTGGAGATCAACACTCAGCACTCAGCATCAAATATAAGATCCGGATTTTCAACTCCAATGTGAAGTCAGTGCTACTCTCTGTACGGATCAGAGACTTGGCCACCGCGTCATAAAGAACATCTGAAACAAACTTCAGAGCTTCACTAACAGTTGTCTTCGCTCAATACTCAAGATCAGATGGCAGGTCAGAAAATATCAGCAACAGGGATCTCTGGCAATGAGCGAACTAACCCAGCAGGAACCGATTGTGCAACAAATAAGCAGGAAGAAACGGATATTGATTAGCCATACGCTGAGGAAGCAAACCGTCAAGTGACATCACTAGACAAGCCATTGTTCGGGTGGAACCAGAACTTGAAGTGGCGAGTTGTTCGTCAATATAAATAGGGAATGAAAGCATGTGGGTAGATGTGAAGAGGGGTGAAAACTTTGGAGACGCGCGGCTGAAGCTCTATATTCCTCTAGGAATTAAAGGATATAATAACAATAATGTTATGTTGTTTTCGGAAAGGCGAGAATCTTCTTCTTTAACCTGTAACCAG